CCCCTCCCCGCAGCGATGCAGGGCTTGTCCTCCGCATCCCCACGCCATGCCACGCCAACAGCCGTGCCCCCACGCCAACAGCCGCCTCTCGGCCTCGCACAGCAGCCCCTGCACAGCCCGGCCCTGCCGGGCCCCGGGTTCCTCTGAAGCCCCCGGCTTCTCTCTTTCTTTTTGGCTTTACATATTCAGAGGTCTTTATTTTGAGAAGAAATCACGGAGAAACAAGCTGGCAGCGTCAGGCAGCACGCTCAGGTGCCAAGATGAGCAGCTCCCCTGCCCTGCATCCTTGCCGCGATGATGTGATCTGCTACTTCAGTGGCTTTGGTAGAGCCATGCTTACCGAGGGCTTTATCTAGCAAATCCAACACCTTGTAAGAGCATCACAACCTTTATATTTTTGGATAATTAGGGGGGAGAAACAACTTTTTAGTTTACATGTGTGACCTGGAACAACAGCAACGGCAGGTAGGAAAAGCACTTGGCTTGAAAACAGATGAAACGGGCACAGCTGCCTCGGGCACCCGTCCCCGTCAGACCTCGGTGCCCTTTCAGAGCTGCTTTTCACACCCACATGAAGGAGCAGACCTTTTCTACAAGCCTGATTCTACTAGTTTTACAACTCCAGTTCAAATGCCAAGATTAGGCTCCATATGAGACCATCCTTTAGAAACTAATAATTTATTTTATCAGCTAGATATACAGAATGACGAGAAGGGAAAACAAGAGCGGTAACTAAATCCAACCCAAGGAAAACCGCTATGCCACAGCAGCTCTACCCAAAGACACGGCAGGTCCCGTGTGTGTCAGAAGCAGGGAGAGAGCAAAAGCAGCTCAGCAATTAAGGGACCTGGGAAGTATCATGGGATGTTCTCCTCCATCCCTTAATGATTTCTACCCTTTCCCAGCCGACATTAAAATATACTTCAGGCAAAGCCACTTGTAAACAGCCGCACAATAGAATAAATACTTCTTACACGAGGCTTTCCTTGAACACAGGAGACAGAGCGACTTGTTAGCGTCATCCCGACTTATAAGTGGTTTGGACAAGAATTTTCAACGCGTGGCTGCCCATCTCCACAGGACGGAGAGTCTGGTCCCAGATAAACAACTCCAGGATCATGCACAGAACCACTGTGTTTTCAACCCGCCTTTCAAATGCTGTACCTAGGTATTCATTTAGTCCACCTGGGACTGTGAAGGACTATAACATTACTTATAGCTGTATCGACAGAGTGCTTTGAAAACACTGAGCACATCCTACCCCCAAGTAATTTAAAGGCTAGGACAGAAAAATCAAATACAAAGAGAACAGGACACAAATGAGAAATTGAAATCTTTACAGTTGATGAAGTCATCAGAAGACTAAAATCCAGTTTTTCAAGCGATGGGAGTTGATAAGATTACCTGATCTTGGAGGACAGAGGGAAGAGAAAAGACTGTAAGTGAAGGGAAGAGCAGCAATTAAAAGTATTGGAAAAAAAGATGCCCCAGGTCTTGAGAGTAACATTACGACTAGCGTACTGACAGAAAAGGAAAAGCACAAGAGGAGGAGCAAAGGGCAGCCACTGGCAGAAACGGTCCGTGCCACGGATCACAAAGAGACCCGATATACCAATGTGACCTGCATCAACACACCACTCACAATGCAGTAAGTAAATCAAAATGCATCGTACAGTCAACACTACACCTATGTTTTGCAAAAGTGCAATCTTCCTACTTCTACACCTTCCCCCACATTTTCATTTTCAAGGCACTGAAGATTTTTCTTATTAGTACCACTGGTCTTAAGATAAAATACCATTCTGTAATGAAGCCCAAAATTTGAGAATAAAAAGTTTCTTAACTAGAAAGAAGAAAGAAAAACCCGTTTTAAGATCTCTCAAAAAAAAAAAAAATTTCCAAAATTCTGATCGGGGAAAAAGTAGAAGTGAAATCATGCCTTTTCCTGACCACCTCGGACACCCTCCCGACGCCTGGAACAGCCAGCGCTGTCAAATCCCAGGGCGTGGGGCACCCTGCACGCAGCAGCCAGGGAAGCACTAGCGAACTTTAAAGTTTCTTCCAAGATTCAGAAGTTTCAGGAAGTTTCCCACCAGTGACTGAACTTCCACCACCTCCCTGGGTTAACTGTGATGATGTTGCTGTGATGAATAACACCATTATTATTGAGCTAGCAGCTTATTTCTGCATCGAATGTATTTACGTACACTTCCAGTTTTAGGACTTTATTCTACCTTCTTTTCACTAGATTAAGGAGCTTTTCAGGTTCAGCAAATTTCTTCTAAGGAAAACACAATCTGTAGGAAAACTGCCACGCAGCTCTATTGAATATTTAGGATGCTATTACCCCATAAAAATACCAGCTGAAACTGGATATTTGAAGGAGAACCTGGAATAGGACAGTATTTTGCCCTATTTTAATACACATTTATAGGGGCAGAGAAACGAAACAATTTATACTTTCACGGCCATACTCAGATGCCAGCATTAACAGTTGGTAAGTACCAAGACCAATGAAATCCTGAAAGGCTCTCTCAAAAAAAGGAAGCTGGAAGAGTACTTATGCAAGGCAGCAAAAGCAGAAGCAGCATGTTCTTCCTGGGAGGTACACACACTGCTGCCAAGGCTATATGAAATCCACAGCGTTTATCACTTTTATGGCAAGGCGGGTGGAGCAGGCAGTTTCATTTTGCTTGTCTTTTTTACCTTCAGATGTCTTCCAGGCCTTCCAGAGGTCTTCCACGCTAATGAGCTTGTCTTCTCCATGGAAGGTGCTGTGCTTGACTGTTGGGTCATGATAATTCAAGTCCTCCCTCAAGAACTAGGAGAAGAATAAACAGCGGGATTATTTTTTGATCCATCTTTTAGAGAGATGAGGAGCATTTAAAAAAAAAATATCTTTCACCCATCTTCCATATTATTACATCCACAGGTTGTCACACAGTAATTTCTATGACAAAGACCTAGTAAGTCTGAGATGCAGCATCTCCGGTCTTTTCATCTCGTGATTAAAACCACATCACCTCCCCATGATTCATAGAATTATAGAATGGTTTGCATTGGAAGGGACCTTCAAAGACCATCTAGTCCAACCCCCCTGCCGTGGGCAGGGACATCTTCAACCAGATCAGGTTGCTCAGAGCCCCGTCCAGCCTGACCTGGAATGTTTCCAGGGACGGGGCATCCACCACCTCTCTGGGCAACCTGGACCAGTGCTTCACCACCTTCAGAGTAAAACATTTCTTCCTTGTACCTAGTCTGAATCTCCCCTCTTTTAGTTTAAAACCATTCCCCCTTGTCCTGTCGCAACAGGCCCTGCTAAAAAGCCTGTCCCCATCTTTTTTATCAGCCCCCTTTAAGTACTGACAGGCTGCAATAAGGTCTCCCCGGAGCCTTCTCTTCTCCAGGCTGAACAACCCCAACTCTCTCAGCCCTTCTCCACAGCAGAGCTGTTCCAGCCCCCTGATCATTTTCGTGTCCTCCTCTGGACACTCTCTAGCAGGTCCGTCTCTGTCTTGTGCTGGGGACCCCAGAGCTGGACACGGTGCTGCGGCGGGGGGGCATCTCAGGAGAACGGTTGAGTTGCTCCAATACATAACACCATGTATTACAGACCTGCACCTTACTTTTAGCTGACCGCCTTTTTCTCTACTTCCAGTTTGAGGATTTTGTTCTGCCCCCTTTTTGCCCAGCAGCGCTCTGCCAGCAGATTTCTGCCCCGGGCCGTGCTGACAATAAGGAATTCAGCTTAGGACCTGCAGCCTCTCATTAAGAAAAGCAATCTTTCCAGACATCAAACCATTCCACTGGTTCTTTTCCCATCAATTGCTTTCCAAGTCCTTCACTGACACATCAGCGTAAGAAGAGGTCACAGCATTTCCACAAGGCACATGCATACGTATGGCAGCAATAATCCTTCTCTCCTGCTACTCCCTCTCTCTTGGCACAGAAATCAAAATCAAAATCTTCTTATGCTGCCTGTGCCCTCCCCTTGGAGAGACCCCGTGACCCCAAGAGCATCAATCGAAGGAAGGAGGGAGTATTTCTGAAATCGAGCACTCCATTAGGAACCTCCCCATCTCCGGTATCATCTGATAGTTGTGGAATAACGCAAGCTGTAAACCTAGAAATAAAAGGATACGTCCTCTTATGAGAAACAGTAAATGCCCAAAAGTTTACCACAAGACTGTGACAGATGATGCCTGCAGGCAGGGTAGAGCAAGTAAGATGTGCAACAGAAGCATTAACCCAATAATGATGGAAAGACAGAGAAGAAAAGCCAAACGACGGGGTCCTTGCTATCCCAGCGCTCTGGGGAGAGATGGGGCACAAGAGAGCAGCCACAGGAAACACGGAAAAAAGCTTTTTCTAAGGAGGAATCAAGCCAGCCGACAGCAAAGCAGCAAGGTCTTGGTATTACAGAGGGGTCTTCAGGGAGGGAGGGGAGCAGGGCTGGGGAGACAGAGCAGCGACCGCCTTCAGCACAGGAATCTTAACCTGGAGTCCTGGAATCACCCAGTAATGGTTAGAGATGAAATACAAAAGCTACTTCAGATTCTCAGAAAATAAGGGAGGATATAAACTGTTGGGTATAATCACAGTATCGCTTTATTATTATTACTGTTATTATTATTATTTTAGCTCTTTGTAACTTTGTTCCATCTTTGTAAATATATGCTTTCAGGCAGGTGTTATCATTTAACCTTTTTCATTACAAAGCCGACACGGCGTGATCAGATAAACACCACAAGCTACTCCTCGCTCAAAGAGGAAGCAAAGCTTAAAATCAGGTTTTCTGGGTTTCAGCAAATGCTCAACTTCCAGACCATCCAGGAAGCAGTGGGAGGTTTGCCAGCTGAAAAGCACTTTTTTGGTTCTATAAGACCTTGTATTTGTTTGCATCAAAATGTAGGTCACCAAAATCACCCAACGCTGCCACATAACAGTCTCCCTTATTTTGTAGGAGTTTCTGTGTCAACGCAAATTCTACCAGGGATTACTTTATATAATTCACCCACCACGCTCGCTGGTGGAAGCTTGTCTTCTGTAACGTCTAGAATCAACTGAAAGTGCAGCCACCAAAGAAAAGAACCGCCCTGTCCACGCTACAGTCTTCTGGCAACCCAGAAGCTATCCGAGCAAATGAACTTCAGGGGACTGAGAATAACAATATATGTAACTACAGAGAACTATATATATAATTATATATTAGAAGATATATATAAAAGAATATATATGCGCTTATATTTTCTATATATCTATATAGAAAATTAGTGCATATATAACATTATTGTATCTACAATAATATATAAATATATATTTATATTTCTATATATATATAATAAAATCATTAGCTAAGTATTTTTCATTGCTGCACAAAACTGACAGATCAAACTGAATAGGAACATTCCCTGCAGTACATCCGAAGATTTCTGTTCCTGGTAAGACAAGCCAGGAAATACTCAGTAAGTATGTTTAATTAATTTTAAGACAGATAGACAAAGTATAATAAATTAATATAGCCTGGGCTTTTGGGACTCCAGGCTTTGCTTTGAATTATAACGTCACCAAAAATTCAACTAAACGGCACAATGGAATCAACTTTATGTCAATGGAGTAAGAATCCAAAAAATTATTATTAGATTTGACCTGCATCTTCAAATCAAAGCTGAAACAAATGCCATCTACAGGAGACGAGGCATTTTCACTGTAGGCTGAGCCACTAACAAAAAAAAATATATATATTGTCGGCAGATATATCATAACTCATTCAGGGAACACATCTGCCATAACAATGTGCTCTGGTGTGTTCCCATCTCCCTCCCACCTCAGGAGAAGACGGGCCAGAAACAGAAGACACCAAAGAAAACTGAAGAAAATTGTATCAGAAAAAAAAAATTAAGGGAGAGTGTGAGAAAGACTAACAAGATTTGAGACTACCCCGTATGCAGGAGGGATTCATGAGATGGGAGGCAGCAAAGTACGTGGAAATCAAACAGAAGAAAGAGGATCACTCACATTCCAGTACCTAACATATGCAACAGAATTAAAGATAATTTCACATTTACATCCCTGCATGCATCATCCAGCGCATGATTACCGTGCAGCCTTCTTTATTACAGGTCTTTTAAGTGTGCAACAGAATTACGAAAAAAAAAGTCACCTCTAGATAAGGAGACGGTATTTTAATATCAGACAGGGCATGAAAAATATCTGTGAAAGTTCTCGCTTTCCAGGCTCTTCACAAATCCATTGCAGATGCTACCGAGGCCACCGCCAGGTACCCACGGCTTGAGCCTGGTGCCTCTCTGCTCTCTGGCTTTCTAGCCCACTGAAAGCTTCAGCTGCTCTTCCCGTCTTGCAGACAAACAGAAAATGGGAAAACTCGGGCAGCTTCAGCAGGGCAGCCCGCTGCCGTTCGGGTCTCCTGCCCGCTGCGCCCCGCCGCAGGCAGCAGCGAGACGTCGGCAGGCATCCGTGCCAACTCGCGGCAGGGAGAGGCGAAGTCGTCGGCCTCCCGGAGCGTTTTAACTCATGACCGAGAGGGAACGCGGCAATGTCACCCGGCGCTGCGCACCGCGCAGCTGCCAACTCCCACCGGGACCGCAGGGATCAGCTGCTGCTCTGTATATTTAGCTCGGGGAGCACAGAAAGGAAAAGTGATCTCTTGCAGCTTTCCTTCAGCACACCATCACCAAAACAAACCCCCAAGGACTCTCCGGAGGGGACGGTGCTAGCTGCGGTGAGAACATCTCTATAAACAAGCGGCGAGGAGGATGCAAGATGGGGCCGTCGCCTCCTCTGACGAGCTGTTAGTGCACGGCGCAGCGTGAGAGGCTGGAGGAGCTGGGCTGCCTGCACCAAAGCCCCGGGAAACCTTAAAAGCAGATTTTCCCCTCACTATCTTCTGGGGAAAAGGCAAAAGAGAAGAATAGTGCAAATACAGCAAATCAGCCAAACTCTGCCCAGCGCGGTCTTCGGAGGTGAAGGCTTCTGTCGGGTTGCTGGTGCTGCGTGGGCATCTCAGCTCTGCTCCTCTGACCCAAGCTAGAAAACAGAGATGTTTTCAGCTGACTGCTGACCTGCTAGCTCTGTATCTGGTACCATCAGACACGTACTACTGCTAAACACACTTCCTCCAACCACCACGTGCTGCCAACCAGCACAAAGCAATGGGAATTCCTGTTGCACAGACGGTAAGGCACCCGTGTCCCCGACGCCAGTGGCGCTCAGGGCGCTTTCAGAGCCCGCATTTGCACATCTACTGCACAAACAATTTTCAAGTTGCATACCTCTCTGGCTCTCTTTTTTTCCCCAGTGGAGGGGCTCCCCGGAGTTTTCACATGCATACACATGCACATTATGTGTATGCTAACACACATTTATATAAAGTAGCTACAGGACTCCCAGATGTCCAAAACACCAGGCACAGGAACCATTGCACAGAAATACTGACCTAATTGCAAAGCATTAAAAAGCAGCACTTCAAAGTGTTAAAGACCCTGCTGATCCCACCCCTGGAGACACCCAAAACTGGGCAGCCGGCTCTGGGTGGCCCTGCCTGGGCAGGGGTTGGACCAGAGCACCTCCAGAGGTCCCCCCCAGACCACCTCCAGCCTCAGCCAGTCTGTGAATCTGCAACAAGAACGGGAGGAAATGTAGTCAACCGAGAGCCTCACCACTAAGTTCAGAGAAAGACAAACCGTGATCCCACCATCCAAAAGCAACGGGAACAGAACCACCACTACAAGCAACAGCCAACATGAGCTGAAATTGCTGCGGGAAGACTCAGCCTGTGAACACTGCTTGATGTCAAGATTT